CCCCCCCCCCTGGAGAAGTGAATCGGACATGCCAATCTATCAATGGAGAGGATAACTTAAACTTTACAATCTGTTAAATAACAATCATATCTTGCAAAATAACTAACAATTAAATTATGTTTTGTTGTTTAATGTCCAATGCTCACCATGAGATTCTGCAAAGTGTCTGATTCCCAGAACATTCTGTGGAGATAGTCGGAGCTGGAGAAAATCTGCACAAGCATCTCTAACCCTGAATTATATGATTGATCGTCAAAAATACGAACTTTGATAGAATATGCCCTTGAACATTGATAACTTCAATCATAACTAAATCTATCAATCAATCAATTTACCGTGTAAGTTGAAAAAATGCTGCACCCATCATCAAATTCAAAACATTATTTGTTGAGATCACAATCTTTCCTAAATATATTATAAGGGGTGTATTTTTTAATAACAAATCATCACCCCCAGGTAAAACTAACTACACAGAAGTACATGCTGTTCGTAGTGGAATATTTTAGCAATATTCAAAATACGTCAAAAATACTGTAAAAAACTTTGTTTACACTAACATCACTAACATAATTAAAACAACTAACATCTATTTATGAAGGATACCTGAGTATGCGTAGTTGATAATACTTTCCATAGCCGATGGGTCGACCGATTGAATTTTTATCTCACTAAACAAACAACTATTTTTTAACCAACTTTTTATTTCATCTTGTATTAGGTAAAAGTTGAGTAGGTTGAACAATTTGAAATATCGTTTTTTTAGCTGATTATTGACAGAAACCAAGAAGCAAGAAAATTTTTAAGATTTGTTTCATGATTCAGAAAGAAAATCAACAATTTTTAGATGGTCTTGTTCGTCGCTAACGGCACTCTTTGAAAAGGGTACTTTAATTTAATTTAATAATTAATATCCAACTTAAACGATACTTTTGTATAAAAATATTGAATAAAATTTGTACCTTTGGTTGGCCTCAACCATGTCGTTTGTAAACATTGCTCGGAAATAGGGAACTGAGGCAGCTGGGATAGAAGATAGCATAATGGGGGCGCAAGGGTGAATACTAAGGGGTGTATGTAATACTATATTTGAAAACATTGCGGAGTGGTGTATACTGTATATAACTAAATATCGGGGCACAGTGGTGTAAATAACTGAATAACGGGGCATAGTGGTGTAAATAACAGAATAACGGGGCGAAGGGGTGTAAATAACAGAATAAAGAGAGTTAATAATAGAATAAAACTACTTTCTTAGCTATCTATATTCCTAAGACTATCCGATGAGCTTTGAATGAGTGGCTTCCTAAAATTAGAAAACAAAAATATTACCAAGAAACAATAAATCCAATTCTACTTATTAAAATAATTGTGAATGTTTACCAATTATAAGATTTACGTCACACAGTTTTCCTTGTCGTCTTATATCCTCCATACAGGGGAAAGCATTCGAAGCGTGCTCCTATACAAACAAATTGTATTTCGACAATCATCCAAAGGGGTAAAATAATGATTGAATGTTCTTCCTCCAAACCCCCCCCATCTGGGGAGGAATCAAATATGACCAATCAGGGAAGTTAAATCAAAACAAAAAGTGAAGTGAAAAGGAAGAAATAAAATAAAACTATATGTATTAATTCAGTTTGAATTTGATTTTTTTCTGCAAAACTAGCTTAATTGATTAAAAAAAAAGAATAAAATTAACCTGGCTATTGAAAGCTGAAAGGCATTCCATTCCGTGTCTACTCGTTGGTTGCTGGATGATGATGGAAGTCCAATATCAGATCTTTGGTTCTGAGATATAGACAATCCTATTGGAAGATTTTCATCATCACTCTCCATTTTGAATTTTATCTAAAATAACTGTTAAAACAATGATAATAATTTGATTAATGATTGGAAAGGGATAACTATTCGAGTTTAAGGCTCAACTATTGACATTGTAAGAAACCTACGTCAAAAATTATATTAGCAGAAGTCTTCGATCGCTTGTTTGAAACCTATACTTCTTAAATCATCTTTGAAACCTACATCTTATATCAATAATAATCAGAATTTAGGTCGAACGCGTTCTTTACTTCCTCTTTAAAAAGTTCTGAAACGCTGACCTAAACAATATACGAGGAATTTAAATCTCGGTTTTTGAGCTGTCTATTGTTGCCTAACCTATTTATGTTTTTTGTTGTGGAAAAGTTTCTAAGATTAAACGTAAGCGCGGTATACTGCGCTTTTGATTTGTCGTCTTTGTTCATCTATAAATAAAAATCTGAAAACTTTAATAGTTTTTACACAATCTTTAAAATTTATTATTCCATCGTAAGATAGTTTCTCTATTTAAATACTAAAAGCTTAACATTTTTATGCTTTTTTATCGCCTTTACGGTAAATATTGTTTATTTCTATACATATTTAAATTATTATCTATCTATCTCTTCTAAACAATCTGAATCAGCTGTTCACAATAACATACGTGTAGAAGAGAGAGTCTGGCGGAGACAGGTAAATTAGAATTTTTATCGTCATCGTGTTTTAAAGCAGTTCAACCTATAGGCCTGGAATGTCAGTTTCTCTTGATTTAGGCGAAGATTCGACTTTGAATAAAGCAAAGGTGAAAATTTGGGTCTGTTTTGTTATAGAGAACGATTTTTGGACCCCCCCATCCCTCCCTCCTATCATAGTTCATGATGACCTCCTTGAGGATGTCCAGAAAAGAGTTGTGAGAATGACAGCAGGACTGAAGCCAGGAACCTACCAAGACAAAATGAAAGAATTAGGCTTACCCTCCCTAGAGGAGAGAAGAAGAAGAGGTGACATGATACACACCTGGAAAATATTGCACCAGCATGATGATGTTTGCGAAAAAACCTGGTTTACTAGGTTAAATTCAGCCTCTACAGCTAGCTCAAGGTTGAACTCATCTATATTCAACCTGGAGATGAAGAGAACAAACCTGGACATAAGAAAAACTTTTTTTCTATTAGAGTTGTTAAAGGCTGGAACCAACTGCCTGAGGCAGTAAAGAGGTGCATGACCCTATATGATTTTAAAAACATTTATGATGAGCATAGAAATGCAGCCATGGATCCAGAAGAATAAATGGTGACCTGACCCGCCACTTCATTCTTGCATGATGCAGGACCTTGGCGGAGAAACTATCAACGTATTAACGTACCACTTGTTTTTCCGCTAAACTATTATTATTTATTTTTCATTATGTTAGGGCTTGGTTAGGTTAAGACAATTTCTGGGCCGAGCGCTAAGGCTTCTACAGGCTAGGGAGGCCGAGCGCTAAGGCTAGGACAGGCTTGGGGGCCATGTGATTAGAACTATTAGAACTATTAAAATATACACCGCT